AGTTTGTGGTCCACTATAACCCCTAGATCCCTTTCTGCCATACTCCTTCCTAGACAGTCTCTTCCCATTCTGTATGTGTGAAACTGATTTTCCCTTCCTAGGTGGAGCACTTTGCATTTGTCTTTGTTAAACTTCATCCTGTTTACCTCAGCCCATTTCTCCAATTTGTCCAGATCTAAATAATATATTTCATCAACACGTTTGCTCTTTATGCGATTTGAATCATGGATCCCTTTTTCCTTAATGAAAATGCACCAAGTGGATTTTTTGTTGTTTATTTAGAATGTGTCATTACCTTCAGAGTATCCTTAACAGCCTGGGGATTCTCACTGCAGAAGGTGGAGGAGAAGGAAAACATACTGCTGCAAAACTTCCCCCTGTTTTTAGAAAAGCATACAAGGAGATAAATGGTGTGCAAAGGGGGTCTTGTATCCTACCCATGTCCATACTCTTTCAAGCCTCTGACAGCATCCAGGAACGGGAACAAGCACACTTGGGTTATATCCAGGAAGGACAGATGTGTAAAGGCAGTGGCATGGTTGTTTACCAGGCCATTTACTGATGTGTCAAAGGCTGGGATGGAGAGCCAAAAGGGAACAATGTATGACAAATGTATCTGATCTTAAGGTGATATAAAGAGGGAAGTATGATCCCACATCCGGGTACTTATGTATGATAACACGTACAAAGATGCAGAAAGGTGCAAGCACAGAGACACTTATTCAAGGTGTGGGAGGCAGTGCTCATTAAATATTGCACTGCCTCACCCCATAATACACACATTACAAGATACATCTAAGTGGGCAAGATAAGGGTCCAGTAGGTGGCTTTTATTCCCACCACATAACTTAGAGGCCACAAAACATCCTAGTAGTGTGACTACATTTATACCACACTGTTATATTGTATGTGTGTGTTTCCCACATCTATTCCTCGCTCTCTGGAGCTTCCATTGTGTTCCTGTGCCTGTGCTCGTTAGATGAGATGATTGGAGCAGTGAGATATGTAACTTGTCCATATGCAGAACCAATAGATGAGACTGTGCTTTGACCCAGTATGGGAAAGTTAAGGTATAAAATGCTAACAGCCCAATGCTGAGCAATGTCTAATTTATTATAAATTCAATAGAGAAATTGCAAGTGCCGCTGAATTATTAATTACATATTTCCTATCTTCACATAGTTGTTTTCAACTGTGGTTCATCTGCATAGCTGTTAAACCAGTAATGGGTAGTCATTTTAATAAAACAGTGGCTGTCTTCTAATCAGTAATTTAAGATTTGTATTTGTTCACTTGTTAATCCTAGATGTGCTTTTCTCTTGATCCATATTTTCCTACACCTTATATAGCATGCAGCCTAAAGGAGTGCAAGAAACATTCTTTCTTACACTACATATTCATTTTGTTTGATTAATTTTGTGTAGAAAGATTGCTGGTGAGTTTCCTATGTATGCATTACTAGAAACCAAAATTACTGAGAGCTAGAGATAAAATTAGCTTTTGAAATTCCTTTTTCCCTGAAAATAAAAATAGCAGAATCCGCCTTTAATTGACCACCTCATTCATCACAGAGGCTTCCTGTGTACAGAGGCTGTGCTTTGAATATCTGTTTTCCTTTGACTTTAAAAGGTGGCCTTTATTTGCAAGGTTATTATAGAAGCATTCAAATTAGAGGTGGGCCCAAGCCACAAAGATCACATCCGCATCTGGATCCAGCTTTCCCACAGTTACAGAGGTGCTTGGGTCCAGGTTTTGGGGTTGTCCAGTTACAGACAGACTTAAGAACCAGTTGTGAAGTTCAAATCCAGATCCACACTTCAGAGGTATTTGAATCCAGAGTTTTGGTTCTGATCCTGTTCTCATTTCACAACATTAGAGAAATCTAGTCAGAGGATTTGTAATTTGTTGGCAGAAAGAGACATTTCCCAATAAAATATATTTTTCTTTTCTTTTCTTTTTTTCACATGGAACAAGTAATATAATCAATTCTTTCCCTAAGCACATAATATTGCCACGCGAGTGATGTGTTAGCACTGTTACTCAACCTGCTTTACTGTGTGTCTATCAGTCATCCTTGCCAGAATCCCCTGGTAACTTACACTTTTATTTCCCAGGGCTGGGAGAGGGTTCTGCCCTTCTTCATCCAGATAGCAGATCCCACCCTCGATCTTTAGAGAAGAGTGCATGGAGGTCTTTTAAGGAATCACAGTGTCATCACATGCTGAAACATCTTCACAATGGAGCCCGAATCACTGTGCAAATGCCTCCCACCATTGAAGGGCATTGGGTCTCTACTGGGTAAGGATAACAAAAAAAGACACTTGAGTGACCTGGGGGGGAAATATCTACAAATGTTTTTAAAGCATTTTTCATACATACTTAGAATGACAGATATTTTAGTTGTACAAGAGAATAGCATGCTGTAAACCTACCTTGTTATATACCATTTTGCAGTCTTCATTTTTAAATAGTAAGGAATGCAATATTTTTTAACTTTTTTTGATTTAGAAAACAAAATATTGTTAAAACCTGCTTATGAATATTACATTGTATTACAAGACTTCTAATGAATGGATCCTTATTTTTAAGAGCTTTTGCATGAACAAATTTCATTAGCAAATTAAATTAAGAAACTTTATTTCATTAGCCCAAGCATGTGCATGTGCTTATCTGTACATCATGACATTCAGTCAGAGTGAGATTTCATTTCCAGTGTCTCAGCTGTAATATTCATCAACCTATTTTAAATGATTTTCTTAGGCTGTTTTGAGGGTTTTAAGATGTTTATGAGGCCCAATCCTGTAATCCTTACTCAGACAAAGCTACAACAGAACTCAGGGAAAGTGGTTCCTGAGTAAGGACTGCTGGATTTGGCCTGTAATTATTCCTGAAAACTCCTATAGATTTCAGTGGGAGCTCTGCGTGTGGAGCAATTGCAGGATAAAGATAGAATCTTTTCTGACTATCCTAAGCAGATAAGCCACAAAGGGTTCAAACAGACAAGCTGCAAACTTTGCTTCTATTACTATTGTAACTTTCAGTTACTGTACCTTATATTTACTGTTTTATAACAAACCCAAAGCTACAGCAAGTTCACAGTAGCTAATACACTTTCTTAATGGAAAAGTTGTGTGACCTTTAGTCTAATAAATAAGTCAGTAAATTATTTTGTTAATGAAACCCTTTTGGATGGGATTTAATGCTCTCCTGTGAAATGTGCAGCAAGAGTTCCTTAATAGTTTTTTGCCTACACTTTCTTATTAGTAGAGTGGAACCACTTAAATCACTGATCAAAGAATACATTTTCCACACACATGTATAGGTATACACCAAAAAAGGGAGGTCCTCATCAGGGATAGCTCAGCGGTTTGAGCATTGGCCTGCTAAACCCAGGGTTGTAAGTTCAATCCTTGAGGGGGCTATTTAGGGATCTGGGGCAAAAATCTGTCTGGGGATTGGTCCTGCTTTGAGCAAGGGGTTAGACTAGATGACCTCCTGAGGTCCCTTCCAATTCCATGATTCTACATTGGAATCTATGAAGAACAAAGCCCATTAAAGTCAATGGGAGTTTTTCCGTTTATTTCAGTGGACTTTAGACTAGGCCCTGTAACCCTAAAACTATTATCTTATAATAAGGGGAGCAATCCCTCTATTTAGGTTACCTAGCACTTTTCAGGGATCTTGTGAAAAAAGGCAGTATGTGATCATGTAACTGAAGCCTGTATCATCACACGTACGCACAAGGGTGACAAATCAAGGTTTGCACGGGCAACCTAAATTCTGGTACTTACTAATTTTCAGCTGCTTGACTTTGAAACCTAAATAACATTCTTCTAATGTAGTTTTTTCTCTATATGATCATAGCAATATGTCTGTGTAAAGAATAAGTTCTCAACACACTAAATGAAAAATAAATTGAAAATTGACCTGAAAAGTATAACCTTCTGAGCTTATAATTTTTATTAAATTTACTATTTTCAAAAAGTATTTATTTTAAGCAGCCTGGATGACCCCCAAGGGAGAGATTTTTTTCAAAGGCACAAAGGAGAGTTTGACTTTCATTGTGAGCTGGGAGCCTAGCCCCATTTGTGCCTTTGAAAATCTTCCCCAAGATTAACAACTCAGCCCCTCACCTATAGGTCATGCATTCAGGTGGCCAAAAAGCATTACCATCTGATGGCTGTTCATATATAAATTTACACTAAGTGTTTAGGAAGTTTGAACAGCTGCTACCAATACTGTACCTGTTCTGTGGTCAGTTAAGATGCTTCATATTTCAGTGCTCTTGTCCTTCCTCTAAATTCACTATTTTTTTAAAAAGGAAATATTTATTTATTTTGCAGCCACTTCCTATGAGGAAGAACTGCTTTTCATGACACTCTTGAGACAAAACCAAAAATATAAACAAGATTAGACATTCAAACCAGTATGGTTCAAATTAAGCTTCATATTTAAAAATCATGTAACCCGAGAGAGAAAATATAAATGATAAAATGACAGATTGTGGGTAAATTTTTCCTAGGAGCAACTATACACAACTACACTTTTTTTTTTTCCTTCCAAAGCAGTGTTAGCTAAAGAAAGAACATAAGAGCTTATTATTCCAGTTGTGCAAGTGATAAAAGAGAAGGAAGAGGAAGGGCTGCCCAGAGATTAACATAGGAACCTGGGACTTGGGAAAACCCAAGTTCAGTTCCCTCCTCAGTCACAGACTTTCTTTGTTACTTTGGGCAATTAATTTAATTGTCTCTGTGCCTGAGTTCTCCATCTGTAAAATGAAGGTGATAGTCCTTCCTTACCTCATGGGTATGGCCCTACCAATTTCACAGTCATAGGATTTTTAAAAGAATACATTTCATGATTTCAGCTATTTAAATCTGCAATTTCATGGTGTTGTAATTGTAGGGGTCCTAACCCAAAAAGGAGTTTGGGGGGGTGGAGGTCCCAAGGTTATTGTAGAGAGTGTTGCAGTACTGCTACCCTTACTTCTGCGCTGCTGCTGACAACAACGCTGCCTTCAGAGCTGGAGAGCAGCAGCTGCTGGCTGGGAGCCCAGTTCTAAAGGCAGAGCCGCCGCCAGCAGCAGCACAGAAGTAAGGATGGCATGCTATTGTATTTCCACCCTTACTATTTCTACTCTGCTACCTGCAGAGTTGGGCCATCATTCAGCAGCTGATACTCTCTGGCCACCCAGCTCTTAAGGCAGCAGCGCAGAAATAAGGGTGGCATGGTATGGTATGGCAGGGTGCTGCCTTCAGAGCTGGGTATCTGGTCAACAGCTGCCACTCCCTGGCCACCGAGCTCTGAAGGAAGCACAGAAATAAGGGTGGCAATACTGCAACCCCTGTAAAATAGCCTTGTGACCCCCTGCAACTCCCTTTTGGGTCAGGACCCCCAATGTGAGAAACTCTGGTCTTCCCCATGAAATTTCTATAGTATAGAGTAAAAGCACACAAGACCAGATTTCAAGGGGGAAGACCAGATTTCATGGTTCATGACACATTTCTCATGGCCATGAATTTGGTGGGGTCCTACTCATGGGGGGCATTGTGAGGATAAATACATTAAAGACTGTGAGGAGCTCAGATACTACAGTCATGGTGGCTATGTAGGTATCACAGGTAGTTGAGTGGTATAAAAAGATAATGCATTTGAGAGGTTTCTACAGTACTAATGCAGTGCTAATATACTAGTGCACACTATAAGAATTTGACCATCTTATTAATTGTAGCATGATAGTGTGGTATATCTCTCTAAAATTTTGTTTTATATCATTTTCAATCCTCCTACAGCTGTGAAGTTAGATCAGGCCCAGAGTTTATCACAAGATCCTATAGATTCTACAACAACAACACATTCAAGGCCTACCAGTTTTATTACGGTGGTAACCGCTGCACAAACCCTACTTACACCTTAGTTATCCGTGGTAAAATTCGTCTTCGTCAAGCATCCTGGATCATCCGAGGGGGAACTGAAGCAGATTACCAGTTGCATAACATTCAGATCATCTGCCACAGTGAAGCAGTAGCCGAAAAACTAAGTGAGTTGGTGAACCGTACATGTCCTGGATTTGTACCAGACAACAATCCCTGGGAGCAGGATGTGAGCTACAATTTGTGGAGAGAAGAGAATGGCTGTGAATGCACCAGAGCTCTTAATTTTGCCATGCATGAACTTCAACTGATCCGAGTAGAGAAGCAGTATCTACATCATAATTTAGATCACCTAGTGGAGGAGCTATTTCTCGGAGACATCCATACTGATGCTACTCAGAGGATGTACTATCGGCCTTCTAGTTACCAGCCTCCTCTTCAAAATGCGAAGGTACATTCACTTTATTTTTTGACAAAAGAAGCAAACCAAATTCGGAATCTTTTCTGAATTAACAGTTTTATTATAACCTAACCCCCCCCTCCCCCGCCCCGTTATTCTAGAGTCAGAGATGGATTGCAGGGTTACAGACAATGCAATTCAATCAATTTTAAGTGATAATTCATGGGAGTAATATCTCATTTGTGGATTATGAAATTGCATTAAGTGCATTATAAGTTTGGGTCAATAGGAGGATGGGCTGCTTGAGCAGGAAGAGAGCGCCACTCTGCGTTAGAACCGATTACCAGAATGGGGAGATGAGAACTGTTATAGAAATGGACAAAGACTGAAAGTCAGCATCAAAAAGGAGAGAAGATTCAAGATTTGAGGCAGAAATTGGTAGAGAGAAGGAAGAGGTAGTAGCAGAGGGTGGAAGGTGGTGAAAAGGCAGCAGTAGTGAAGAGGGAAATAAAATTGTGTGAGCATATGGAAGTCCATCAGCCAAGAAAAAGAGGGAATTGGAGGGTAAGGACATAAGAGGGGCAGCATGAAGGAGGGAACAATTGGTAGACTGTGCAGGTCATGGATCCAGACACAGATGCATACATTATTTGAAATGAAAAACAGGGACATTTTGAATCTGAGGCTATAATTCCATTTTAGGATTCCATTTTCAGTCTGCCCTCCGCTTCAGTGTGAGCTGATCAAACCATAGTGAGTTTAAAAAAAAATCAAAGAGGGGAGTGTGCAGTGGTGTACATTTGCAGTGGGTCTGTCTGTCCATCTTTTCTGATGACTTCTCAAAGAAATGTAGCAACTGGAACCATAGACGCTGAGTTTCTTCTTTTCCCTGGAGGTGCTCCACCCGCTCCCTCGAGGCCCCACCCTTTCTGCACCCCTTTCCGTTGCTGCTCCATCCCCTCCCCGCCTGCTCGCTGCTCTCTGCCCTCCCCTAACTTCTCCCCCAGCCTTTAATCAGCTGCTTAGTGATGCCCTGATCAGTTAATCAGGGGGCTGCCAAACAGCTGAGCACCCACAGAGTCAGCACCTATGATTGGAACCACATTTGAGACTTCAGTTGCCATTAATAACTTCCACAAAGAGGCTGATTTTTGGATCATTTCCAGTTAATGGGTTATCACAATTTTTAACTTTTCACTATAACTGTTACAAAAATGGACCACAACATGCTGAGTGTGAGAGGAGACACAACCAGGGAAGAGAGCAATTTGGGGAGAGTGGGTTTGGGTTCCCATTCATTCACATAACCCTTCCACCTTCCCAGAGTTGCTTCTGTCCTCTCCCTCACTGGAATTCCAACAGTATGACATCTCTAGATTGTAATCTTATCAGCTCACCTCAAGTGGGCCTGGAACAACTTTTCATTTACTTTTTAAACCCTACATCTTCCCAAAATAGATTCTAGCCAGAGCAGACATACACACACCCATAATCAAAACACCTGAGTTCAGAACAATTTTAATTTTTCTATTTCATTTGCTTGACTAAAATAAATAACATTCTATTTTTGATTTGTTTTCTCTTTACTTATTTTGGAGTGAGGATCTTTGTTTAAATTTATTTGTTTAAAATTATTCTTTGAAAGGGATCCTTAAAAACAAAAGTACACTGATGAATGTTGTAGCTATACTAGCAAATTTTGTAGGTGTTTTTCAGAACAGTTGGAATGGAGACAAAACTCTGATTTCAGTACAACCAGCTAAGACTCTGGGACAGTCCCACCAAACCTGGTTATCCTGATATTGGCCATTACATGACATGGTAAAAATGTCTGCACTTCATTTTAGAGAACTTTAATAGAGGTTCAATGTTAGAATGGTCGGCTTTACTGCTCAGCTGGCTATACAGAAACTAGGATTTTGTAAGTTCTACTGTCACCTCTGGTCACCATTCAGCTGCCTGGCGTCTGTGTTGCAATGGCATTGCTAGACTGCTCACCTCTTAAAATGCAATGCTCTAGTTAAGACTAATAAATCTTGCAAAACAAGCCTGTCTCTTAGACCCATCTTCCTGCCATGTGAAGTTTGACTATTAACATATCATCAGCACAAGCTGGGTCTAGTAAAGTTTTACTGAAAACAATATTTATACACTGTTCCACATATCATTGTATAAAATGTAAGCCGAAGAAATATAATGGACAAGCTAGAAGACTTTATCGATATCCCAAAATATTTAAAGCAGAGTAACTAATGTCAGGCCACACTGGAAATTTGCCAGGAGCCCAGAAACCACACCAATATTGAGAATAGCTAGAAGAATGTAACCCCCATCATCTTCACTCCCGGGGTTTGTCTCAGACCACAATACAAAATGCACTGTTTTGCTTTGAGTGGATCATGCCTATGTATTGTAGACCAGGACAAACATAAGCCTTTTTTGTAGAATCCGACAGTTTTCATCTGGGCTCGTGACCAGGTTGTGGCAGGAAAGGGCTAGTCAATCTGTCTCATCATGTATAAGAAGTTTATATACTTTGATGGGCCAAATTCTGCCTTCAGAGGCATGTGCACAACTCCCATTGGGAGTCTACTGTATGGATTCCAGGCAGATTTTGGTCCTAGATGTTTACCAGAACTGGTAGAAGGAAAAAAAATAACTTGAAAGATCAATATTCTGGGAGCTTAGTGCATCCAAACATAAGCTTATCTGTCAGCATATAGGCAGAGTCCAAGTCAGGGGTGAGCAAACTTTTTGGCCCAAAGGCCACATCTGGGTGGGGAAATCACACGAAGGGCCATGAATGTAGGGCTGAGGCAGGGGGTTGGGGTGCACGTGTGAGGGGGTGCAGTGTGCCAGAAGGGGCTCAGGGCAAGAGGTTGGGGTGCAGGAAGGGTGTGGCAGGGGGTTGGGATGCAGGAGGGGTTCAGGGTGCAGGCTTGGGCCTGAAGTGGCTCCGGGGCGGCAGCAGCACACAACGGGGCTAAAACAGGCCCTGTGCCACTCCCAGAAGCAGCCAGCACCATGTCCCTGTGGCCCCTGGGGGAGGAGGGAGGGATAGAGGGCTCTGCACGCTGCCCTCGCTTGCGGGTACCTTCCCCGAAGCTCCCATTGGCCATGGTTCCCAGTTCCCGGCCAATAGGAGCTGCGGGGGGCGGTGCCTGCAGACAAGGGCAGCACACAAAACCCTCTGCTCCCACCCCATCCCCAGGGGCCGCAGGCACATGGTGCCGACCGCTTCTGGGAGTGGTGCAGGGCCCGCGGCACCATGGGGGCGGGGGGCAATTCCGTGGGCCGGATCCAAAGCCCTGACGGCCCGGATCCAGCCCACAGGCCGTAGTTTGCCCACCCCTGGTCCAAGTCCTAAGGCTGAATTAATGACATTGGAACATCATTCATATATGTATCACTGACAACAGAGAACGACATTACTACACGGGGGGCAAGCTAATTCAGAGTATTCTCAAGGTACCTAAAAGTGCAGACAGATGCAAGTACTGGGTAATAAAAAAACAGTGTAGTTTAGGAGATCTGGCTTTATTCTCTGTTCTGTCACTGGACCGAAGTCACCTCACCTCTGCCTCTCCTCCATCCTGTGTCTATATTGTCTGTTTGGACTGAAAGCTCTTCAGGGTAGGAAATGTCTCCCACTATGTGCCTGTACAGTACCTAACCCAGTGGGGTCCCAATCTTAGTTGGAGCCAGTAAGCGTAACTGTAACAAAACAATTAATAGAACCCATACAACACCTGAAAAATGAAGATTCTTTACATACTTTTAGTTTTGTGCATCTTGTTCAGATTCTTGCGACTTTTTTTTATGGGAAATTTGGGCATTGAGACAATAAACTTTCATTATGATAGTTAGTAGGAAAAAACATGTATATTAGTATTAGCCATCATAAAAGGCTGCTGGGTTTTGATGTGTATCTACCCATGAAGTCTTCTGTACCAGCGGGCTGTTAACCTGGCCCTGGGCTGCAGGTTTTTTGAATGTAGGAAGAATGGTAACAGAAGATGCGTTTTTTAAAGACCACACACACATACCATTGAAAGGTTATAACCCTTCTTCTTTGAACTTCTTTCCTTTTCTAATTGCTGGTCCACAGGGACCCAGCTGAAAATGAGTTTAAATGCTAAATTGAGTTTAAAACCACTAGTCAGACTCCTCTGGAAACTGGACACCTTAAATAAATAGAAACATTAAATCAACTTGTTTTTTTAAGCTTTCTATAGTCATGCAGCAAGACTGGGGAGGTGAGGAAATAGCCATTGAACAGAATCAGGTGTGTTGTGTGGAATCTTTCATATATGGCTTGTTTCATTTTCCCCCCCCCCCTTTTTTTTTTTTTTAAATATATAAAGACTTGTCTAAAATTAGTTTTTAAGAAGATTCACTGTCTGCATTAAAATTATAATTAGGCCACCATGAAGATGATAGCTCCACCCAACTCGTAAATTTACATACCCTAAAAGTTGGATGTGATAGCCATCACATTCATTACTTGTGCAGTTGAAGCAAATGGTAATTAAAAGCAAATGGCTGCTGGATCAGTTAGAAATGCTAAAGCCGCATGATCAGACTTTAAACAAATAGAATTGGGCCTTTTCCAAATTCCTGCAGTGATTTAGCCACAAGATGGCAAATCAAAGGGGCTGTCCAAAAACCAGACAGCTTTAAGCCAAGCTACTAATCTAAGTAAATTCACAAATGCCCATATCTTAACTCAAGTGTACATATGAAATTGGGGAGCTTTAAGAAAAGATCTAACTTGTAATCTCTTAAGGCCTTACAAATTCTCTTATCTAAGAGCATATCCTACACAAATTCTTCCTTTAAAACATTGTACATTAAGAATTTATCAGTGTTGGGTCAATATGCTGACAGAGCTGAAGATAATAAATTCAGATCTGATTCTGAAAGTTGCTGAGCATCTTCAGCTTTTGTTGAAGTCATTTGGAGTTCAGAAAGGTGCCCTGCACCTTGCAAATTCAGCCTTTTAAATAATAGCTGAGAACTGAGAGAGACAGAAAGAAGGTTGGAGCGACCTT